TAGGTCTCCACTCCACCCACTCCCTCCACCCACGTATGTAGGTCTCCACCACCCATCCCTCCACCCACCCACATAGGTCTCCACTCCACCCACCCACGTAGGTCTCCACTCCACCCATCCCTCCACCCACTTACGTAGGTCTCCACTCCACCCATCCCTCCACCCACTTACGTAGGTCTCCACTCATCCATCCCTCCACCCACTTACGTAGGTCTCCACTCATCCATCCCTCCACCCAACCATCCACGTCTCCACTCCACCCACGTATGTAGGTCTCCACTCCACCCACGTCTCCACCCCACCCATCCCCTCCAAATCTCCACCCATCCCTGCACGCACGTCTCCACTCCACCCATCACTCCACTCATCCCTCCACCCACATAGGTCTCCCCTCCATCCACCCCTCCACGCACGCGAGTCTCCTCTCCACCCCACGCACGTCTCCTCTCCACCCCACGTCTCCACAAAACCCACCCATGTCTCCCCTCCACCCACATCTCCATGCTTTATTTTGCCAATAATTTTAAACACCCTCCTCAGCATTTCTGGCCGTGGCCATCTTTGAGTAAGGGCAAATGATTGCAGTAGCATTTACTTCCTGGAAACCATCTGCCCTTAGCTCAGGCATTGGCTGAGTCGAGAACCCTCCCCTCCTGAAGACTCCTGGGATGTACGACATCTCCTGGGCATGGAAACCAGGAAGTATCTGAAGAAATTATATATAGAATCACTTTCCTATCCATTTACGAATGCTGGCAGCACAAGGATGTACACTGAGACTGAAGTTCCACTTTACAGCGCGGGTCACACGATGACGTCAGTCCCGTCACCATGGCGCCGGGTCACAGGTCACTCAGAGGGTCAATGCAGCGACTGCAATAGATGGGTCCTGTACAAAGCAGGAAGACTCTGGCGCTCCCAGGATACAGGCCAAGGTTACGGGGTCCCCTTCTTCGAAGTGGCTCAGTCATGAACAGCACCCTCTGACAGTTTGTGGAAATGTATCCCTGGGGGGATGGTGACTTCCTACCCTGAACTCCCGGTCACACACCATGGATGGCAACAAAGTATACAAACCCATCGGCACGCTAAAGAGGAACTCCGCTCACAGGAACCATTTCCCATCCCTGTGCTGCCAGCATTAGAAAATAGGAAGGCGGGGTTACATTCTTCAGTCACTTCCTGGTTTCTGGCCTAGGCCAAAACAATGTCGTACATCCCAGGAGTGTTCATGGGAGGAGGGGTTATTTCTCAGCTAAGCCACACCCTCCAGCATGCATGCCTGAGCTAAGGGCAGATGCTGGAGGAGGCGCAGAGCTGTCTGTAGCGTGGCTTTAAAAGTACCACACGGGAGGCGGCCGTGAGGCACCAGTTATAACCCGCACATTATTCTCGCACTGACGCTTGGTCCGGTGACACCACAGCCAGGTAATTCGCCGGTTCAAAGGCAGTGCAGGTTCTCGTCTCCACAATTCTATAGAATATCCTCGCTGGCCACCAGTGGGACTGTACAATTCTAAACTCCCCCCGCCCACGTTTCTTCAGTTACTTCCTGGTTTCTGGCCTAGGCCACAACGATGTACATCCCAGAGGTCTGCACAGGAGGAGGAGCTCTCTCGGCTAGGTACACCTCCCCTGCCTGAGCGAAGGACAGACGGATTTCAAGACGTAAAAGCAGCATGAACTATCTGCCCTTATTCAAGATGACAGCTAGAAATGCTAGGGGGGGGGGGGGGGGTTATTTTTTTTTTAAGAGTTATTTCTCAGCAAAATAAAGGATGGAGAGATATGGAGGGGGGGGGGGGGGGGGGGGGAGAGGAAGGCGAGGCGGGGGGGAAGAGGAAGGCGGGGGGGGGGGGGGGGGAAGAGGGAAGGGCGAGGGGGGGGGGGGGGGGGGGAAGAGGAAGGCGAGGGGGGGGGGGGGGGGAAGAGGAAGGCGAGGGGGGGGGGGGGGGGGAAGAGGAAGGCGAGGGGGGGGGGGGGGGAAGAGGAAGGCGAGGGGGGGGGGGGGGGAAAAGAGGAAGGGGAGGGGAGGGGGGGGGGGGGAAGGGAGGGAGGGGGAGGGGGGGGGAGGAGGGGCGAGGGGGGGGGGGGGGGAAGAGGAAGGCGAGGTGGGGGGGGGGGGGGGGAAGAGGAAGGCGAGGGGGGGGGGGGTAAAAGAGGAAGGCGAGGGGGGGGGGGGGGGGAAAGGGGGGCGGGGGGGGGGGGGGGGGGGGGGGGGGGGAGGGGGGGGGGGGGGGGGGGGGAGGAGGCGAGGGGGGGGGGGGGGGAGGGAAGGGGAGGGGGGGGGGGGGGGGGGGAGAGAGGAAGGCGAGGGGGGGGGGGGGGGAAGGGAAGGGAGGGGGGGGGGGGGGGGGGAAGGGGAAGGCGAGGGGGGGGGGGGGGAAGGGGGGGGAGGGGGGGGGGGGGGGAGGGGAAGGGGAGGGGGGGGGGGGGGGGGGAAGGGGGGGGGGGGGGGGGGGGGGGGGGGGAGGGGGGGGGGGGGGGGGGAAGAGGAAGGGAGGGGGGGGGGGGGGGGGAAGAGGAAGGCGAGGGGGGGGGGGGGGGGAGGGAAGGCGGGGTAGGGGGGGGGGGGGGAAAGGGAAGGGGGGGGGGGGGGGGGGGGGGGAAGAGGAAGGCGAGGGGGGGGGGGGGGGAAGAGGAAGGGGGGGGGGGGGGGGGGGAATGAGGAAGGCGAGGGGGGGGGGGGGGGAGGGGGGGGGGGGGGGGGGGGGAAGAGGAAGGGGGGGGGGGGGGGGGGGAAGGGAGGGGGAGGGGGGGGGGGGGAAGGGGGGGGAGGGGGGAGGGGGGGGGGGGGGGGGGGGGAAGAGGAAGGGGGGGGGGGGGGGGGGGGGGAAGAGGAAGGCGAGGGGGGGGGGGGGGGGGGGGAAGGCGGAAGGGTGGGGGGGGGGGGGGGGGGGGGGGGAAGAGGAAGGCGGGGGGGGGGGGAGGGGGGAAGAGGGGGAGGGGGGGGAGGGGGGGGGGGAAGAGGAAGGCGAGGAGGGGGGGGGGGGGGGGGGGGGCACGGGAAGGCGGGGGGGGGGGGGGGGGGGGGGGAGGAAGGGGGGGGGGGGGGGGGGGGGAAGAGGAAGGCGGGGGGGGGGGGGAAGGGAAGGCTGGGGGGGGGGGGGGGGTGAAGAGGAAGGCGGGGGGGGGGGGGGGGAGGGCGGGGGGGAAGGGGGGGGGGGGGGGGGGGGGGGGAAGGGGGGGGGGGAAGAGGAAGGCGAGGGGGGGGGGGGGGAAGAGGAAGGGGGGGGGGGGGGAAGGGGGGGGGGGGGAGGGGGGGGGGGGGAAGAGGAAGGCGAGGGGGGGGGGGGGGGGAAGAGGAAGGGAGGGGGGGGGGGGGGGGGGAAGGGGAAGGCGAGGGGGGGGGGGGGGGGGAAGAGGAGGGGCGAGGGGGGGGAGGGGGGGGGGGGGAGGGGGGGGGGGGGAGGAAGGCGGGGGGGGGGGGGGGGGAAGAGGAAGGCGAGGGGGGGGGGGGGGGGAAGAGGGGGGAAGGGGAGGGGGGGGGGGGGGGGGGGAAGAGGAGGGGGGGGAGGGGGGGGGGGGGGGGAAGAGGAAGGGAGGGGGGGGGGGGGGAGGAAGGGAGGCGGGGGGGGGGGGGGGGAGAGGGAAGGCGAGGGGGGGGGGGGGAAGAGGAAGGCGACTGGGGGGGGGGGGGGGGAAGAGGGGGGGGGGGGGGGGGGGGGGGGGGGGGGAGGGGGGGGGGGGGGAAGGCGGGGGGGGGGGGGGGGGGGGGGGGGGGGGGGGGGGGAGAGGGGGAGGGGGGGGGGGGAAGAGGAAGGCGAGGGGGGGGGGGGGAAGAGGAAGGCGAGGGGGGGGGGGGGGGGAGAGGGGGGGGGGGGCTTTGGATATTACAGATGAGTTTCCAGTTTGGGATGGTGCACAGTGGGGGGGGGAGGGGGGTTGACTCCTGTTGGGTTTTTATTGTCGTGACCCCTCCCCCCAGGGAGAGCCCCCCCCCCCCCCCCCTCTCAGATTAGGATGCCTGTTCTGGGGACAACTAATGCCGGCAATAGAGGGTTGAAAATCGGCCGATTGTCGCACCATTAGTGGGTTAATTGGTCGGCTGTTTTTTGGGGTTTTGGTGCATTTTTCTTTATCGGTAAAGTTGGAAAATTTGTGACCGATTTTCCCGGCAATGATGAGGAAATCGGTCGATCGTTTTACGATAAGAAATCCGCGCATGAGCCGTGACCTGCAAGAAGGAGAATTCCAGTCGCTATTATATTCTACATGAAAGTCTTGCGGTTGCAACAATGTATCCATTTGTATCCGAATAAAACCATCTGCATCTGAAATGGATACAAATGGATAGAAATGGATACAAATGGATACATTGTTGCAACCGCAAGACTTTCATGTAGAATATAATAGCGGAGCTCTCTGCAAGGGACAGAATTAAATGTCGGCCGTAGACGGGACGCAAATCGACTGATTTTTTTACCGTTGGTGGTAACGTTGGCCGATCGAACGACCGATTTTTAATTAAAAAAAAAAAAAAAAAACAGTCCGGTTTTTGGCCCGTCTATGGCCTGCATAAGGGACTTGCCCTCATTTTATAGAGATCACCTGTCACTTCCTGTTGTGTCTCTGGGACAGGAAGTGAAGAGAAATTCTCCAGACAGGACTGACGGGTCCTAACCCTCCCCCATGCTATTGAAGCCGCTCCCATCGCCTGTTCAACAAACTTTATTCTGTAGGGAACTGTGCATCACAAACCCCGCCCCCTCAGACCCCGCTCCGACGCGTTTCGTCCAGGGAGGGTAGTCCATAAGCCCCGCCCATGGTGAAGCGCGTTGGGAGGAGCAGGGACTGGTGGACGATGTTTGTGATTCGCTGTTCCCGACAGAATAAAGTTTGTTGAAAAGAAACCGGATTTGGCGGTCGGTGGAGCGGCTGCTTTCAGTTTTAGTGCATCTGAGAAACCCAGAAAACACATCAGTCTGAAAATACCCGCCCCCAATAAAACCCCACCCACACACCCCCCCTCCCCCCAGGTGACCCCGCCCCGGAGTCACTCACCCTCTGTCAGTCGGGCCTTCCCCCCGGTGGGCTGGCAGAGGACGGTGGAGCAGCCGACACACAACACCACGGGTCTGGGCGTGGCTGAACACGGTGGTGATCTTGTAGCATCCTGCGGAGGGGGAGGAGAAAAGAGTTATGGCAACCATACAGACCCCGCCCATTCTTCCCACAATTCCCCGCCCCCAAGGATCTCCACCCACACCACCCGGGCACTTGACGTCCATGAAGTAGGAGTTGGGGCTCTGCACCAGGCGCTTCTTCTTGTGCTTCCTCTTTTCCTCCTCGGGGGAGGGGTGCAGAAGGTCTTTAGCGAGCTGTCGGGGGAGATGGGAGAAACATGAGAACCGACCAATAGAAACCCAGCGTCCCCGCCCACCACCATCACCTGACCCACCCCCGCCATCACCTGACACCTCCCCCCCCAACATTCACTGCAATGAGCACCCCTTCATGGCATTAACTGGCCAACCTGCCTGACTCCTCCCCCAGTGCCTGAAACATGTTACGGGGGGAGGAGCTCCCTTCTTATATACAACTGGAACCAGGAAATGGCTGCTTCTAGCATGGCCCCCCCTATCACCTGGTACTCCGCCCCCAGTGCCTGAAACATGTTATACTCTAATCCCATCTTCACGGAGACCCCCCCCCCCCCCCATCAGACGCTGGGTCGGGGGAGGGGGGCAGCTCCCATCTGGTAGGAGCCAGGAATCGTCTGCTTCTATCAGAGGCCCCCTCCCTCCCGGAACTCCTCCCCCAGTGCCGGCAACATGTTGCTCTACTCTTTTCCTGAGCCCCTCGCCCCCACCCGAGGGGGGGCCCCCCAATATTCTGAGCCCCTAGGCGTCCTCACACCCCAACCCTCCTCACTCCCCCAGTGCTTGCAACATGTTACCTTACTTTTTTCACCAGCACCTCCTCCATAGACAGAGGGACCCCAATATTTTCTGAGCCTCACACCCCCAACCTTCATCCCTCCTGTAACCTGTCTGGGACTCCTCCCCCAGTGCCTGAAACATGTTACACTCTGCTCCCCTCCAGTCTTAACCGAGGCCCTCCCCCTCATCCAATCAGAAGCTGGGTCTAGGGGGAACCAGGAATTGCCTGTTTTCAACAGGGTCCCCTGTCCCGCCCCCTCCTGTAACCTGCCTGGAACTCCTCCCCCAGTGCCTGAAACACGTCACACCGTGCTCTGATTGGATGAGGATACAGAGGGGTTCAGAGCTCAGGAAGGAAGACTGGTGGGGCAGAGTAGAACATGTTTCAGGCACCGGGGGAGGGATTTAAGGCAGGGAAGGGAGCGGAGCTTGGCTCTGGGATGATGGTGATATTAACGAATAATGGGGTCTCCTCCTGTGACCTCCCCCAGTGCCTGAAACATGTTACCCTACTCTTTTCCTGAGCTCCTCTCCCCCCCCCAGAGGGGGGCCCCAATATTCACAGAGGCCCTAAGCATCCTCACACCCCCAACCCTCCTGGAACGCTTCCTCCTCCAGTGCCTGAAACATGTCGCACCATGCTCTGATTGGAGGACACAGAGGGGTTCGGAGCTCAGGAAGGGAGACTGGGGGGGAAGGAGCAGAACATGTTTCAGGCACCGGGGGAGAGATTTCAGGCAGGAAGGGGGCGGAGATTGGCTGTGGGATGATGGTGGGGATATTAATGAATATTGGGGTCCCCTCCTGTTGACCTCCCCCAGGGCCTGAAACATGTTACACCGTGCTCCCTCATCTTTCCAGAGCCCCTCCCCCCTCAGTCTTCTCATCCAATCAGAAGCCAGGGGTCCTGTGTTGGCCCCCCAATGAAGGGACGCAGCCCCTCCGGGTGTTGGGGTCTGATGGAAGCAGTCACGTGCTACTGGCAGAGTAAGGAGAGGCCAGCTTCCAGCAGAGGCTTCTCACACAGGAGGGGCCTTCGCGCACACACGAGGCCTCCTCCCCTCCTACCCCCGGTACCGCTTCCTGTGCCCCCAGGGACCCCTCTGCCTCATCCCCCGCCCTTCCCGAGGGCCCCTCTCCCCTCCACATTCCCCCGGTGTCCCCCCTCCGGAGGTCTCCGGTCCTCCCCGCACTTACTGGCATGTTCTCAGGACGAGGCCCGCCGCAGAAAAGGAGGCAGACCGGTAAACCAAGCCCGCATTTTTTATAAGGAGGAGTTGCCGGACGGAAGTTGGCGTCACGGCGGTTAACAGGCTGCCATCTATGGTGGAGGCAAAGAAGAATTCATTAACCCCAAATTGTGGCCCCTGGAGGGGCGGGAGGAAGGGCCCAGGGACTAGAAGGGCCCAATTCTGTGCTCAGTGTGTGTATGTGCCCGGATCAACTGGGGGGGGAGAGGAGTGGGGACCGGAGGAGGAGAAGTTGAGGGCGGGAATATCCCTCTAATGGGAGATTGTAACACGGGGGGGGGACAAGGAGGGACATGGTCAGGGGGAGGGGGAGGGGAGGGTCATGGGGTGAATTACCAACGTCAATCATCACCCACCTAACTATTATTACCAGCCCTGTACTATATATCACTGCTGAGTACTTTTATACTCTTTTTAATATATTATATATATAAATAATTATTATTATTACTGCAATTTAATGTTTTACCATATATGATAATTATTAAAAATTTATTATTAAATTATATTGTATATTATAATTTAAATTACATATGAATTATTATTATTTATTTTTATTTTATATTATATTTTTATAATAATTTTAATTATAAGTTTAATTTTTTTATATATAACTATTATTATTATATTTTTTATTATTTTAATTTAACTAACTTAGTAGTATAACTTTTTATATTATATATTTATATATATATATTTATTATATAATTATATATTTAATTAATTGATATATCATTATTATATTTTAACTTTTATTATTATTATATTATCTCAAAATAATTAATTATTATTAATATTTTTAATTTTATATTATAATTTAATTATAAAAAACTAAAATGTTTATTATTTTTTATTTTATTTTATATATATATATTTTTAATATATATATTTTTATAATTATTAAATTATTATTATATGCAATTTTAATTCATTAATAATATTGATATTAGTTTTATTAATTTGTATTTAATTTTTATTATAATTTTATGTTTTTTATTTTCTTATTTTATAATTTTTATATAATTAAGCAATTATTATTTAAAATAAACTATTTTTTTTTTATTTTTTTATATTAAATATATTATTCTTCTAAATCATAACATTATTTTTTTTTTATTAAACAATATTATTATTATTTTTTTTATTTTATTATTTATATTTAATTAATTTTATTAATTTTTTTATATTTAACTTATATATTAATTATTATTTAATTTTTCAAATTTTTTAGTTTAATTATTATAATTTATATATTTTATATCTATATTATACATAATATATATTAATTATTGCAATTTTTTTAATTTTATTTATATATAATTATTATTATTATTATAATATATTTTATTTTACTATTATATTTATATTATAATAATTATAATTTAATTATATATAATTATTATTAATAACCAATTATTATTATTTACTTTATATTTTATATTTATTTTCTTCTAATTTTTTGTCATTACCATATAATTATTTTATATCATATTATTATTTTTAATAATTAATTATATATATTTTCAAATAAATAATATTTCTTCATAAATTTTGGTCAAATATATTCAGCTGTTGGTAAAAAAATAAATAAATACCCCAAATCAGTTTCAAAAAAGAAAAATTATAATTTTTTAACATTTTTTTTTTATATATATATTTTTTTTACATTATTATTTATGGGGGTTTTTTTTTCAACGTACTGTCACCCTAGCAGTACAGTCACCACAGTGACACTGTACTACTTGTGGGGGGGTGATGAAGATTGTTTTTATTTTTTTAAAAATGATTGCTTTTATACCCATAAAGGCTGTAAAAGCAATCATTGTCTCCTTCTATCTGGCTGCATTCCTGCAACCATTGAAAAATACTGTATGAGCTGTGATTGGTCACAGCTTGTCAATGGTACAAGGCTGTTGTGAACAGCCCTGTACCATGTGAACCTCTGTGATCATTCACAGATTTCAAAATGTAGTAAGCGATGATGTCAGAAGTGAAATCTTGTGTACTACTCTGCATGTGATCACTGATTGGCCAACTGTACACATCCCCCCAAATGTCAGGACAGGACAGATATCCCCCCAAAATGTCAGGACAGGACAGATATCCCCCCAATGTCAGGACAGTACAGATATCCCCCAAATGTCAGAAGAGTACAGATATCCCCCAAATGTCAGAAGAGTACAGATATCCCCCAAATGTCAGGAAATGTCAGACATTTTACAGATATCCCCCAAATGTCAGGACAGTGTAAGATATCCCCCCCCAAATGCCTAGAACAGTACAGATATCCCCCAAATGTCAGGAACGGTACAGATATCCCCCAAATGTCAGGACGGTACAGATATCCCCCAAATGTCATCAGAACCAGTACAGATATCCCCCAAATTGTCAAGACAGATACATGTCCAGGATACAGATATCCCCCAAATGTCAGAAGAGTACAGATATCCCCCAAATGTCAGAAGAGTACAGATATCCCCCAAATGTCAGAACAGTACAGATAACCCCCAAATGCCAGAACGGTACAGATATCCCCAAATGTCAGGACGGTAACAGATATCCCCCAAATGTCAGAACGGTACAGATATCCCCCAAATGTCAATTGAAGGACAAGTACAGATATCCCCCAAATGTCAAGACAGTACAGACATCCCCCAAATGTCAGAAGAGTACAGATATACCCCCAAATGTCAGAAGGAGTACAGATATCCCCCAAATGTCAGAACGGTACAGATATCCCCCAAATGTCAGGGACAGTACAGATATCCCCAAATGTCAGAAGAGTACAGATATCCCCCCAAATGTCAGCACAGTACAGATATCCCCCAATATGTAGAACGGTTGATATGCCCAAATGTCAGGACAGTACAGATATCCCCCAAATGTCAGGACAGTACAGATATCCCCAAATGTCAGGACGGTACAGATATCACCCCAAATGTCAGAAACAGTACAGATATCCCCCAAATGTCAGGACGGTACAGATATCCCCCAAATGTCAGGTACAGTTACAGATTATCCCCCAAATGTCAGAAACAGTACAGTTATCCCCCAAATGTTTCCCAGACAGTACAGATATCCCCCAAATGTCAGGACAGGACAGATATCCCCCCAAAATGTCAGGACAGGACATATATCCCCCCAAATGTCAGGACAATACAGATATCCCCCAAATGTCAGGATGTACAGATATCCCCCAAATGTCAGGACGGTACACAGATATCCCCCCAAATGTCAGGACAGTACAGATATCCCCCCAAATGTCAGATAACAGGAACAGATATCCCCAAATGTCAGGAAAATACAATCCCCCCCCCCCCCATGACATATATCCCCCCCATATGTCAGATTATCCCCAAATGTTCAGTACGGACGATATCCCCCCAAATGTCAAAACGGTACAGATATCCCCCAAATGTCAAGGACAGGACAGATATCCCCCAAATGACAGGACAGTACAGATATCCCCCAAATGTCAGGACAGTACAGATATCCCCCAAATGTCAGGACAGTTACAGATATCCCCCAAATGTCAGGATGGTACAGATATCCCCCAAATGTCAGGATATCCCCATTTAGATCTGGTTCGACAGATATCCCCCAAATGACAGGACAGTACAGATATCCCCCAAATGTCAGGACAGGACAGATATCCCCCAAATGACAGGACAGGACATATATCCCCCCATATGTCAGGACAGATATCCCCCAAATGTCAGAACGGTACAGATATCCCCCCAAATGTCAAAACGGTACAGATATCCCCCAAATGTCAGGACAGTACAGATCTCCCCAAATGTCAGGACGGTACAGATATCCCCCAAATGTCAGGACAGTACAGATATCCCCCAAATGTCAGGGACATTATAGATATCCCCCCAAATGTCAGGACAGGGACAGATATCCCCCAAATGTCAGGACAGGACAGATATCCCCCAAATGTCAGGACAGGACAGATATCCCCCCAAATGTCAGGACACAGTAACAGATATCCCCCTAATGACAGAAACAGTACAAGATACCCCCATGTCAAAAATACAGAAAATGTCAGGAACAGGACAGATATCCCCCCCAAATGTCAGGACAAATATTAGATATCCCCCAAATGTCAGGACAGTACAGATATCCCCCAAATGTCAGGGAGGGTACAGATATCCCCCAAATGTCAGGACAGGACAGATATCCCCCAAATGTCAGGACAGTACAGATATCCCCCAAATGTCGGAACAGTACAGATATCCCCAAATGTCAGGACATCCCCAAATGTACAGATATAGCCCCCAAATGTCCGGACAGTACAGATATCCCCCAAATGTCAGGACAGTACAGATATCCCCCCCAAATGTCAGGACAGTACAGATATCCCCCAAAATGTCAGGACAGTACAGATATCCCCAAATGTCAGAACGGTACAGATATCCCCCAAATGTCAGAACAGTACAGATATCCCCCAAATGTCAGAACGGTACAGATATCCCCCAAATGTCCAGATTAGTACAGATATCCCCCCAAATGTCAGAACAGTACGGATATCCCCCAAATGTCAGACGGTACAGATATCCCCCAAATGTCAGACAACGGTACAGATATCCCCCAAATGTCAGGACAGGTACAGATATCCCCCCAAATGTCAGGAACAGTACAGATATACCCCAAATGTCAGAAGAGTACAGATATCCCCCAAATGTCAGAACGAGTACAGATATCCCCCAAATGTCAGGACAGTGTACAGATATCCCCCAAATGTCAGAACGGTACAGATATCCCCAAATGACCAGAACGATATCCCCCAAATGCTCAGAACGGTACAGATATCCCACCAAATGTCAGGACGGTACAGATATCCCCCAAATGTCAGAACGGTACAGATATCCCCCAAATGTCAGGACAGGACAGATATCCCCAAATGTCAGGACGGTACAGATCCCCCAAATGTCAGGAAGGTACAGATATCCCCCAAATGTCAGGACGGTACAGATATCCCCCAAATGTCATGACAGTACAGACATCCCCCAAATGTCAGAAGAGTACAGATATCCCCCAAATGTCAGAACAGTACAGATATCCCCCAAAATGCCAGAACGGTACAGATATCCCCCAAATGCCAGAAGTACAGATATCCCCCAAATGTCAGCACGGTACAGATATCCCCCCAAATGTCAGACAGAGTACAGATATCCCCCCAAATGTCAGAACAGTGCAGATATCCCCCAAATGTCAGGACAGTACAGATATCCCCCAAATGTCAGGACAGTACAGATATCCCCCCAAATGTCAGAACAGTACAGATATCCCCCAAATGTCAGGACGGTACAGATATCCCCCAAATGTCAGGACAGTACAGATATCCCCCAAATGTCAGACAGTACAGATATCCCCCCAAATGTCAGGACAGGTACAGATATCCCCCAAATGTCAGGACAGGACATATATCCCCCAAATGTCAGGACAATACAGATATCCCCCCAAATGTCAGGACGGTACAGATATCCCCCAAATGTCAGGACGGTACAGATATCCCCCCCAAATGTCAGGACAGTACAGATATCCCCCAAATGTCAGGACCAGGGACAGATATCCCCAAATGACAGGACAGGGACAATATATCCCCCCAAATGTCAGGACAGTAAGACTCCCCCAAATGTCAGAACAGTACAGATATCCCCAAATGTCAGAACAGTACAGATATCCCCCAAATGTCAGGACAGTACAGATATCCCCCAAAATGAACAGTACAGATATCCCCCAAATGTCAGGACAGTACAGATATCCCCCCAAATGTCAGGACGGTACAGATATCCCCCAAATGTCAGGACGGTACAGATATCCCCCAAATGTCAGGACGGTACAGATATCCCCCAAATGTCAGGGACAGGACAGATATCCCCCAAATGTCAGGACAGTACAGATATCCCCCAAATGTCAGGACAGTACAGATATCCCCCCAAATGTCAGACGGTACAGATAGCCAAATGTAGGCCCCCAAATGTCAGGACGGGGTACAGATATCCCCCAAAAATGTCAGGACGGTACAGATATCCCCCAAATGTCAGGACAGTACAGACATATCCCCCAAATGTCAGAAAAGGTACAGATATCCCCCAAATGTCAGCACGGTAACAGATATCCCCCAAATGTCAGGACAGGTACAGATATCCCCCAAATGTCAGAACAGTACAGATATCCCCCAAATGTCAGGACAGGTACAGATATCCCCCAAAATGTCAGGACAGTACAGATATCCCCCAAATGTCAGAAGAGTACAGATATCCCCCAAATGTCAGAAGAGTACAGATATCCCCCAAATGTCAGAATTGTGTAGGAGTACAGATATCCCCCAAATGTCAGGACAGTACAGATATCCCCCAAATGTCAGAACGGTACAGATATCCCCCAAATGTCAGAACGGTACAGATATCCCCCAAATGTCAGGAAGACGGTACAGATATCCCCCAAATGTCAGAACGGTACAGATATCCCCCAAATGTCAGGACAGGTACAGATATCCCCCAAATGTCAGGACGGTACAGATATCCCCCAAATGTCAGAAGAGTACAGATATCCCCCAAATGTCAGAAGAGAAGATATCCCCCAAATGTCAGAACGGTACAGATATCCCCCAAATGTCAGAACGGTACAGATATCCCCCAAATGTCAGGACGGTACAGATATCCCCCAAATGTCAGCACGGTACAGATATCCCCCAAATGTCAGAAGAGTACAGATATCCCCCCAAATGTCAGGACAGTACAGATATCCCCCCAAATGTCAGAAAGTACAGATATCCCCCAAATGTCAGGACAGTACAGATATCCCCCAAATGTCAGAACAGTACAGATATCCCCCAAATGTCAGGACAGTACAGATATCCCCCAAATGTCAGGACAGTACAGAGATCCCCCAAATGTCAGACAGTACAGATATCCCCCAAATGTCAGGACAGTACAGATATCCCCCAAATGTCAGGACAGTACAGATATCCCCCAAATGTCAGAACAGTACAGATATCCCCCAAATGTCAGGACGGTACAGATATCCCCCAAATGTCAGGACAGTACAGATATATCCCCCAAATGTCAGGACAGTACAGATATCCCCCAAATGTCAGGACAGTACAGATATCCCCCAAATGTCAGGACAGTACAGATATCCCCCCATATGTCAGGACAGATATCCCCCAAATGTCAGAACAGTACAGATATCCCCCCAAATGTCAGGACAGGTACAGATATCCCCCAAATGTCAGGACAGTACAGATATCCCCCCAAATGTCAGGACAGTACAGATATCCCCCAAATGTCAGGATGGTACAGATATCCCCCAAATGTCAGGACAGTACAGATATCCCCCAAATGTCAGGACAGGTACAGATATCCCCCAAATGTCAGGACAGTACAGATATCCCCCAAATGTCAGGATATCCCCCAAATGGGTACAGATATCCCCCAAATGTCAGGACAGGTACAGATATCCCCCAAATGTCAGGACAGATATCCCCCAAATGTCAGGACAGGTACAGATATCCCCCAAATGTCAGGACAGTACAGATATCCCCCAAATGTCAGGACAGTACAGATATCCCCCAAATGTCAGGACAGTACAGATATCCCCCAAATGTCAGGACAGTACAGATATCCCCCAAATGTCAGGACGGTACAGATATCCCCCAAATGTCAGGACAGGTACAGATATCCCCCCAAATGTCAGGACGGTACAGATATCCCCCAAATGTCAGGACAGGACAGATATCCCCCCAAATGTCAGGACAGGACAGATATCCCCCAAATGTCAGGACAGTACAGATATCCCCAAATGTCAGGACAGTACAGATATCCCCCCAAATGTCAGGAGGTACAGATATCCCCCAAATGTCAGGACAGTACAGATATCCCCCAAATGTCAGGACAGTACAGATATCCCCCCAAATGTCAGGACAGTACAGATATCCCCCAAATGTCAGACAGTACAGATATCCCCCAAATGTCAGGACAGTACAGATATCCCCCCAAATGTCAGGACAGGTACAGATATCCCCCCAAATGTCGGACAGGTACAGATATCCCCCAAATGTCAGGACAGGTACAGATATCCCCCAAATGTACGGATATCCCCCATGTACAGATATCCCCCAAATGTCAGGACAGTACAGATATCCCCCAAATGTCAGGACAGTACAGATATCCCCCAAATGTCAGGACAGTACAGATATCCCCCAAATGTCAGGACAGTACAGATATCCCCCAAATGTCAGAACGGTACAGATATCCCCCAAATGTCAGAACAGTACAGATATCCCCCCAAATGTCAGACAGTACAGATATCCCCCAAATGTCAGAACGGTACAGATATCCCCCAAATGTCAGGACAGTACAGATATCCCCCAAATGTCAGACGGTACAGATATCCCCCAAATGTCAGGACAGGTACAGATATCCCCCAAATGTCAGGACGGTACAGATATCCCCCAAATGTCAGACAGTACAGATATCCCCCAAATGTCAGACAGTACAGATATCCCCCAAATGTCAGAACGGTACAGATATCCCCCAAATGTCAGACAGTACAGATATCCCCCAAATGTCAGAACAGTACAGATATCCCCAAATGCCAGACAGATATCCCCCAAATGTCAGAACGGTACAGATATCCCCCAAATGTCAGGACGGTACAGATATCCCCCAAATGTCAGGACGGTACAGATATCCCCCAAATGTCAGAAGAGTACAGATATCCCCCAAATGTCAGACAGTACAGATATCCCCCAAATGTCAGGACAGTACAGATATCCCCCAAATGTCAGACAGTACAGATATCCCCCAAATGTCAGAACAGTACAGATATCCCCCAAATGTCAGAAGGTACAGATATCCCCCAAATGTCAGAAGAGTACAGATATCCCCCCAAATGTCAGGACAGGTACAGATATCCCCCAAATGTCAGACGGTACAGATATCCCCCCAAATGTCAGGACAGTACAGATATCCCCCAAATGTCAGAACAGTACAGATATCCCCCAAATGTCAGGACAGGTACAGATATCCCCCCAAATGTCAGGACAGTACAGATATCCCCCAAATGTCAGGACAGTACAGATATCCCCCAAATGTCAGGACAGGACAGATATCCCCCCAAATGTCAGGACAGTACAGATATCCCCCAAATGTCAGACAGTACAGATATCCCCCAAATGTCAGGACGGTACAGATATCCCCCAAATGTCAGGACAGGACAGATATCCCCCAAATACAGGACAGTACAGATATCCCCCAAATGTCAGGACAGGTACAGATATCCCCCCAAATGTCAGGACAGTACAGATATCCCCCCAAATGTCAGGATGGACAGATATCCCCCAAATGTCAGGACAGTACAGATATCCCCCCATGTCAGGTACAGATATCCCCCAAATGTCAGGACAGTACAGATATCCCCCCAAATGTCAGGACAGGACAGATATCCCCCAAATGTCAGGACAGGACAGATATCCCCCAAATGTCAGGACGGTACAGATATCCCCCAAATGTCAGGTCAGGTACAGATATCCCCCAAATGTCAGGACAGTACAGATATCCCCCAAATGTCAGGACAGTACAGATATCCCCCAAATGTCAGGACAGGACAGATATCCCCCAAATGTCAGGACAGGTACAGATATCCCCCAAATGTCAGGACGGTACAGATATCCCCCAAATGTCAGAACGGTACAGATATCCCCCAAATGTCAGGAAAGGTACAGATATCCCCCAAATGTCAGGACAGTACAGATATCCCCCAAATGTCAGGACAGTACAGATATCCCCCAAATGTCAGGACGGTACAGATATCCCCCAAATGTCAGGACAGTACAGATATCCCCCAAATGTCAGGACGGTACAGATATCCCCCAAATGTCAGGACGGTACAGATATCCCCCAAATGTCAGGACGGTACAGATATCCCCCAAATGTCAGGACGTACAGATATCCCCCAAATGTCAGGACGGTACAGATATCCCCCAAATGTCAGGACAGTACAGATATCCCCCAAATGTCAGGACGGTACAGATATCCCCCAAATGTCAGGACGGTACAGATATCCCCCAAATGTCAGAGACGGTACAGATATCCCCCAAATGTCAGAACAAATGTCAGAACGGTACAGACATCCCCCAAATGTCAGGACGGTACAGACATCCCCCAAATGTCAGGACGGTACAGACATCCCCCAAATGTCAGGACGGTACAGACATCCCCCAAATGTCAGGACGGTACAGACATCCCCAAATGTCAGGACGGTACAGACATCCCCCAAATGTCAGCACGGTACAGATAACCACCCAAATGTCAGAACG